GTAGATGAGCATTGTGCAAATATCTTTTTAAATTCCCCCTTAACATCCTTGTTCCTGAGGCTGTAGATAAGAGGGCTGACTATGGTATAAAAGGCTGACACTACTTTGTCCTGCTCAGGAGTGTGGAATGACTGGGGAAGCACATATGTGTAGAAGGCAGCTCCATAAAAGATACTGACAACAGTCAAGTGGGATGAGCAAGTGGTAAAAGCTTTCTTCCGGCCTTCTGCAGAGTGCATGCAGTGGACAGTTAACAAGATTAGAGAGTAAGAAGTAGAGATGATTGAGATGGGGATGAGCAGCATGAATACACAGCAGACGTACATCAGAGTTTTATACAAGGATGTGTCAGCACAGGCCAGTTTGAGCACTGCAGGGATCTCCCAGAAGAAATGGTTGATGCTGCGGGAGCCACAATAGGGGACATTCATAGTGATGGGGGTTAGCAGAAAGCCATCGAGAGAGCCACCAAACCAAGCACCAGAAGCCAGAAGGAGACACGCCTTGTGATTCATCAAGACTGGATACCTACGGGGGTTACAGACAGCCACATAGTGTCATAGGCCATGAGGCCCAGAAGAAAGAACTCTGAGCCAATCATGGTCAAGTAGAGAAAGATCTGGATGCCACAGGCCACGAAAGAAATGGTCTTCCTTTGGGATACCATGTCAACCAGGCGCTTTGGGACAGTGGTACAAATGAAAAGGGTGTCCATTATAGACAACTGACTGAGCAGAAAGTACATGGGAGTATGGAGGTGAGTGTCCACCTGAATCAAAAATATCATGACCAAATTTGCAGTTATAACCACCAAGAAAATAGCAAGGATAACAGTGAAGACAATCCCTGTAGCCTGACTGTTCACCAGAAGCCCCAGTAGGATAAAGTCAGAGGATGAAGTATTCTACATTATTAGAACATATGACAAATCCAGGTGAGAAGGAAGTCAAAAAATTTAGGAAAGAAACTAGAACATCCAACATGGGAGAAATGTATTATGGAGATGACTTCTCAGAGGATACTTGTCAAGATAAAATTTCCCTGGGTAGAATGCTAGAGAAATCATACAGGTTAACCTTCTTATCATGAAACTGTGATTGTAGCTCAAATTCTTCTTACTGGAGAATTCCATTTGATAATACTTTTATGTTCATTCTTTGACATGTAATGCAAAAGTAATGGTGTTTGCTATACCTGGAGTAGTGTAACTACATCTGTCTTGTTCCCTCTGTATTTCTGGAATTGAGAAAATTATTGGCCAACATTGAGTAGGGCTAAGAATACACCAGTTGGTGAAATGAATGAATGACTGATTAATTGATTAATTGAATAGCTAAAGGTGAATGAAGTTAATAACTTAGGGAAATAATGGTCTGGGTTATCTGTTGAGGTTTCATGAATTAAATTTTCCTTATCTCTCAGTGCTTTTTTGTTTTTGTGGGTTCTTAAATTTGGATAAGCTCACTGCTTAGTTATTCTCTTAGCATATCTTTCTTCAAAGAGATTATTTATTCTTGCATTTATTTGCAACCCAGTTCCCATAATAAAATATCCTAAAAATAAAATATGATCTTACCACTAAATGATTCCCTGCATTGTTCCAATTACTACTGTGAGTTTGGAATGGTGACAGATATGCAGTCAAACATAAAACATCTTAAAGTAATTTCAGCAAAATACATACAGGAATAAAAAATTAACCAAGCAAGACACCTGCCAATGTTTTCCTAAACTCTGAGGCTAAATCTAACTAACATGATTACAAATCCTTGGAGCAGATTATAAAACATAAATAAGAATGTGGAAATAACAGGCAACAATTTAGAAAAGGATTTTCATTCCTAATTTGTTGCAGATAGATTAAGGATTTAAGTGCTCAAAAAAAATCATAAATGCAATAATGTAACTCTCCTTCAAAATTAGATACTACTGAATTAAGGATTTAACATTTATGGTTGTAAAAGGGAAGGTCCAATCAAGGGTAAAGCCCAGGAGTAAACTGCAATTTATGCTGTATACCCCACTAAGTAAGTTTGCCATATAAAGCAAATAAAAATACAAGATGAATGGTTATTTATTTATGTATCTCTTTTTCTATAGTACATCCTTGAATGTTGGCAATATGCCTGGGAGCTCTAGTGGCATAGTGCCTGAGGTGTTTGACTGCTAACCAGAAGGCTAGTGGTTCAAACATACCAGCCACTCCTCGGAAGGAAGACTGGGTATTCTACTTCCATAGAGATACCACAATAAGCTTACAGTGAAAAAAAATGCTATGTATATGAAATCCATGTTCAGTTGGGTATTTTTTATCATGCTGGAAAGTCATGCTTGATTTCACAAAGATGAAATCATTGTTATAACAGTGAAAATTGACCTATGGAATCAACAAAGTCTAAGTTTTGCTATCTAATGTCAAAATTATAATTGATACAATTGTTATTGCTGTGTACCTTTGAGTCCATTTCCACTCAAATAAACCCTATAGGATAGAGTGGAAATGTTCTATAGGGTTTTCTATGCTGTAATTCTTTATAGTGACAGATTCCCAGGTCTTTTCTTCTGTAGAGTAGCTTGTGAGTTTGAATGGGTGGTGTTTCAATTAATAGCTTATCATAAAAAGTAAATTGTTTCATTCCAAATTTCCCTCTGATTGGAATGTTCAAATTACTCTAAAGAATAGCACAGTATTGTCCCATTTGTCAGAGTTACCTAAATACCCTGTGTACAAAATTCTAAAGTCAGGTGGCCCCTCATCTAACCTGGTGGTTCATTCACTAAAATTCCCTTCCATTTCTCAAGGAAAATAAAGAATAAATATTGTCTAGTAATGCATTCCCTACTTAATAAAAAGTCTATTGATAAAAAAAAAATCCATTCTATTTTAGTATCCAAAATATTCTTAATAAAAATAACCCACACTGAGGTGTAGGAACTCAGGATTTTTCCTTTGTCATATCCAGGAATTTCAAACATTTTACCTTATAAGTGTAAAATCATTTACACTAAATAAGTGACTATATTTCTGAACACATTCTCAGCTAGTATATGTTTAAGCCATTGTTGTATTTCACCTTGATTGTTCCAATAACCTTCCCTCTATCCCCCTGCCCTCTCCATGTTCATTTAGTCTGGTCTCAGCACAACAACCTAAATGACCTTTAGAAAACTACCTTAGACCAAGTCACTCTGTT